TTTCAATTGAATTCGAAACTTCATTATGTCAATATTCAGTTTCTTGAATAATGTGTGTACAAGCTCTTCATATCTAATATCACATCGGATGTTGTTCGGTCCCCTAACCACTTCCACTTGTTGTCCATGATGACGAATGTATCACCGTACGACACAATGAATCTTACGACATCTCCCATACTGCATGCCATAAATGAAAATAATATCAGTTAATAACGAATACCTAAAACGAATATGCTAGCCGTAGTCAATTGCAATATGTGAAACGCTGTAACAAAATGGTCTCTAATTTCGTTTAGTGTTTAATGTTATTCTCGACATTTGAAAATATCGAGAATTACATTTAAACTATCATTTTCGACATTTATAAAATGTCGAGAATGACATGACGGTATTCACTTCAACATATGCATTTATCTTCTTCTTCAACTTCAACCACCATTTTTTAAAAGTGTTTATTCCACCATTAATGACATTTTCAATACAGAAGTACCTGAAATTATTATCTACCTAAGTTATTGAAGAATGTTGTTACAACAAATATCTACTACTTGTTTGGATAATCCAATTAAATGAAATCAAATATATAACAACTACTAAATACAACTTATCAATAAAAATAAGATTTCAAAGAAAAATACATTCGACCAAGAAATATTGAGAGCCGAATCAACTTCAAATTTGGACGAGATTAAATTTGTTGATTTGAAATCAAATTATTTCTTCAAAGTTGGAATCATATACTTCTTTGTAGGTATTAATGGCATGTCAACTTTAACTTCTTCAATTTTCCTACAATAATTGATTAATATCTAATTAAAAATGTAAGCAAATGAACTCACATTGGTAATAGCTACAATTATGGTTGCTTCTTATGGAAGTCACTTGCTCTTTTCAAAATGTGTCAAATTGAAAAAAAATAATAATAATAATGACATTGAGTAATCTTTTCATTAAGGGTAAAATAGACAATTTGGTATCAACTTTGGCCATTTTTGTAAGAATTATAAGAAAATGATATTTTTCAATTGACATCCATAAAATTGGACATTTTTTAAAATATCCCAAATGGTGGTGTCACTTCATTGGCACTTCTTGTTGTGGAAATCAATGTTCGACATAGTCAAAGGTTGTGTGGGTACGTGGAGCATTGAGTGTGAGTGATTTTGAACTTTTTATTTAACCAAAAATAAAAAATAAAAAAATTTGATTTTTAGCTTTTTGAATTTTGAATAAGGCACATATCACTTGTAAAATTTGGGAGGAATCCTGTAGGAGTTTTCTTATTTTACTTGTGATAATTTTAGCATTTATTGCTAGTATTTGATACATCACACTCGCACCATTTATCAGAAGGATTAAACCACAGATGAATTATGACATAAGGGTTCACAGAATTCTATGTGGTGAAAAATGATTTGATGGAAAAGATGACTGTAGTTTAAAAAGTTTAATAATAAAGTGTCACGTAATATTATGTTAACCATTGTATCAATAATTTTGGCATTGTAGCATGATTGTTATCAGAATGGTAAGAAATGATTGTGTATCTTGTTAAGAGCATTTTTAAATTTGCAGGGTTACTTGTTAGGAGTATTTCCTCGACAGTTCTTGTAAGCCAATGCCAAAGTTCGTTGGTGTTATAAATATTGTTATGGATTAGTAGGTCAAATTGGCAATTTGTATCGACTTTTACAATTAAGCAGTAAATATAAACAAACTTTATTGAACTTGAATATAAGTGTATATTTAGGATCCATTTAACCAGACTTTTGAAAAGTTAAAAATTGTTTATGCAATTAAAAAATTATTTTTGAACATATTTGAATAATTTTTTTAAAAAAACTTTATTTGACTANAAAATTATTTTTGAACATATTTGAATAATTTTTTTAATATATCTTTATTTGACTAGAAAAGTTTTTTTTATCAGGCAAAGTCCACTTAAGAATTTCATTGGTCTGGTCTCCAACTCCATTAATTCTGGTAATGATCACAGACAAAATAGTAAAATCGAAATAATAAAAGCATAAGTTGAATAATCAAAGTGAAATGGAATTATAAGTTGGGGTGATTGAATTGAACAAATACAACTTGTGTCAAACATAAAATGATCAATGACATCATCATATGTTAGCATTTATTAACTTAGCCGTTGTGTGGGGTGTCAAAACTTTTTGAGATTATAAGTTAATGGTTTCAGTGAAATGTGTGGAAAAAATGAATAAAAGTTGTCGGTTCAATAAAGTGTATTATTAAAAATGAAATTTGATCAACTTATAATCTCAAAAAAGCTTTGTCAAACAAAGGCTTGGTAGACAGAAGTAGATGAATGCCTAAATTGAAACAAAAATAGAAGTTCAGTGCATAATTTAAAACAAAAAAGTTTGATAATTAGTATATGTCGAGTTGTTAACACTTATTTTAACCCTTACTTAAACTTCAGGTGCTTCAAAGATTTTTATTTCTTTGGATTGGATTGGATTGGTCCTCCCTCTTTGATTTCATTGTCACGAATCCATGAACTTATTTCAGGTAATGGTCCAAACATAACTAAAGACATGGCCTGAAATGTTAAAAAAAAAAAATCGGATTTCCCAATTTTTACCCCTAATTTTAGTGTTTTTTTTTTCCCATTTATTTTATGAGTTCATATTTGAAATGATGATGTATACAATTTGTATTTGTTAAAGTTCTTTTATTATTATATACAAGAAATGCTTTAAAGACTTTCTATTATTGTGTTATTTAAATCACGTCTAGAATTAAAATTTAAAACTTATATCTTACGTTCTTGAACATGTCCTTTGAAAACGTTTTATTACATTGTTTATTGTTGTGTTCTTTCTTATTTTGTGGTGTACGAGGGTTCTTCATTCTAGTGTTTCAATCATTCTTAATTTTTTCATGTAATTCTGTACATCAATTCTTATGAATATCTAATTAAACGATATAAATGTTTTAAGGAATTTGGAAAACATTTTAGTGCCGGTGTGATATTAATAAAATCACAAAATTGAATCTTTTGGTGCCTTCATGTGGGAACAAACATCACTGGGGTACAGTGTCGAGTAATGTAATGGACCAACCTCATCATCTCCACCCTGTCTATATTACAAGCCGAGTGAAGCTAGTTTTTTTGATATCATACCACGCTTAGTTATCACAATACATAAATTCATAGTTTCCTTAAGAAGGGAGCAAACCGAAACACACGAGCACATATATTTAGAACGTCCAAATTTGGTAAGTAATCGTCCACCCATCAACAGTTAAAAGCTTAGCTCCTTTGTTTCAGCTGAAGTACGGCAGCCTGCAAGAAAAAAGAAAAAAGAAAATTGAAACCACCGTCATTGATGAAAGGATGATCCTCTTTTGAAATAGCTAATATAGGATTAGATTGTACAATAAATACGATTTTAATTTCTTCTCCCTGTCAATTACTATCCATTCCACATTGCAAATAATGAACACACCCGAGCTTGAGAGAGGTATCCGAGCTATCCGAATCTTGCGGAGGGCCTATCGAGTTACATGCATTAGTAACAGACTCTGATGATTGACCATCCTCCTCGACTATGTTCACAGAATCAACTGCTATCGTACTTTTCTGGCCTTTCGATATCTTCACCTCACAAAAAACAAAACCTTCAATTTTCACTAAAACTATAAATACATGCATACGTGTGGTGCACATAATGCGTGCCCAAGAGAGATTCTTTTCAGCTCATACCCGCAGTCTTAGACGCTCATTCTCTTCCATGAGTTCCTTGCCCTGCACATTTCATACTTTTAAGACTATATTTACATGCAAATCTGATGATTCAAACTTATTTAAATTTGATTATGAACCATGCCGTTGTACCAAATACTAATACTAAACACGACAACAACTAATTAGACTTTTTTTCCTCTTAACGATCGTGTTAAAAAGTTTGGTGTAGCGACCTTTCGTTGAAGTTGATTGATCTCTTTCATGATTTTTTCATCCTGTAAAATGAACAACACTCTATCAAGGTAATAAATTTATGAAATCCAAGTAAAAAATCTATAATTAAGGCATAACTACAACACAGTACACAATCTCTAGCACTTACCTTTTTCTCTATCACGCGGCTCAACCCGGTTTCCAGTGATATCTCTAACTTCTGCAACTCTTCAATACTCAATTCTTGAAGTTCCTCTCCTCTCATGCACCTGTTATTAGCAAATATATATCAAGCCGAAGTTTTGTACCGACCATATTAAAAAAAAAAGAGCTATGGAAGCAACCTCAGTTCATGGCTTCTCTCAGTGACTTCTTTGCTTAATCTGGAGTAGTTGCTGTCCCCGACTAGCTGCTTTGCAATTCCCCCGTTCTTTCAGAAATTAATCGAAAATACAGTTGCTACTTTCAAGTATGCATGTATTCATAAGACGACATAATACAAGAAATATGTATTTGACAAGGTATACTCGACACATCGAACAATATTAAGAAATGTGAGTGCGAATTTTTATGCATTATTAGATCATATGGAATGATGCAATTGTCATAATTTTTGTTTTTTTAGTATTAATATTGTTGAGTGCTTCATTAATCCACTTTATCAAACAACACTAATACCCAGTGATAACTTCAATTGCTGAGCTTCAATATACAATAAAGAATGTTTTTTTTTAAAAAAATAAAAAATTACCTGAAGTTCAGGAGATGGTTGTTCCAACTTTTCAAGGTTCTTTGTGTGCAAATCATGCTTTTCAAGTATGTCCTTCATGCTTTAGAAGACCACAACAGAAAAATGAGAAAAAAGAGAGGAAAATTGTTCATTGTACTAACAGAGCAGCAAGTACAAAGACAGTTTTAAAACTAAATGCAAAGATAGTCAATATTCTCGCATCATCAATTAAATATTAAAAATATTATCCAATATAATAAGAGTTCATTCCTCTTAACAAATTAGGCATTTTAAGAAGAAACCCAAGACTCGAATATAAATATATCACGGAACTAGAATACTAAAATTACATACCACAAGACTTTAAGCCCCACGTAAAAGTCTCAATCCATATTAACCATCTTATATAAAAGTTCAAGTTATTAGTGAAAAATTGCATTTATTCATTTATATCTTGCCTTCAACACCCCCTCACAAGTTGAATAGATTCATTTTTTACATCAAATTTGTCGTGCACAATTTTTTTAATGGGTGACCACGACATTTGAACACAAATCTTGTTAGTTACTCTCATATCATTTTAATCATCTTGTCTAAACGTTACGTTATTTTAAAAAAATGACGTGTTCATTAAATCTTATCTTCAACCATTCATGTACATATCATTAATTGCTTCTTAGAAATTTAAAATGAGCAACTTAACATGATATGAAATGATCGTTCAACCCAAAAGTTGTATTCTCATTAAAACCAATTAAACAAGCAAATACTAGTTCCTGGTCTTAGTTTCTAAACTGATCATGCCATGCCTAAATTAAACTCAAAATCAAATATTTGTGTCTATGGCCTTCTGTCTTGACATTGCATATCTTAGGACAAAAAGATGTCAACTATCTCAAGCTAGAAAAGTAAATCAAACACGGATAAGATCAGAAGAATGAACTCCTATGATTTATTTTATTCTACACATGCTACCGTCTATATTAAATAGTAACTTTATGTTATGTTTGGTATGTTAAATTGAATGAAATATAAGTATCGGTCTTATTGGGTAGAATGCCTTC